CCCCAAAACCCCAAAACCCCAAAACCCCAAAACCCCACCATTTCATAAATGAATTGAATAATTTCTATAACATCTGCTACCCCTGAAACCACTAAATATGAAGCATGGCAAGAGTTAAGGTTTGCTTAGTGATCAAGGTAATGCCGGCCTATTTCAACCCGATATTCTGCCTTTTTGATAATACCTCTTTTAATAGCTCCCCTTGGTTCTCATCTGAGTCGAGCAAGGAGCTGGAGCTGTCCTTCTCGCTTTTCCATTTATGGAAATTGTATGTTTTGGTCCACTCGCAAACAAATTTTAGGTTGTACTCTTTTAGCAATTGTAAAACAGCTCGGTATTCAGCCACAGGAGAGTCAGAGGATTGACTAAAGATTAAGCAAGAGCTTACTCAGATGACTTGGATTCTTCCATTAGGAATACTTGGGCTGGGAAACTTTGCATCGGTGGGTTTTGTTCCGTTTCACCTATAACGTATCATACTTTTCTCTAGTCCAGCCCAATGAGGTTTTAAATTGCCAAACTCGAAGTATTCAGCCAATATTTTGCAGGAAACAAGATGAAAATTCAGGGTCTTGTTTCCCAAAAATATGCTTTTTAGTGCCAGTTTAGGCATCTTAGGGAAATAGAACTAATTGGGAAATAAAAATATTTGCAAACATTCGTTAGGATTTTGAACGATTTTGATAAATCTATATTTTCATGTGCAAATTGTATTTGAAAGGACTCACTTGGTGGCTTTTCTAATTCTGAAGAGAGCCCAGCCTCCTGGATCCCTGGAGCAGCCTCTACAGTAGCATTAGATGTTTCTACAGTGTCTAGAGATTCCTCTGGTTCTTCATTTGTATGCTTAGCATTCTCAGCTTCTAAGTTTTCGAGGAGTTCTTTGATTTTATTTTTCCTCTAGTCTTTCCACTTCTTCATCAGAGATCAGTTCAGGCTCTGGACTGGGCAGATCAAATTTCTTGATGCACTGCTGGGCATAAGAGAGTCTACACAGAAGTTGCTTGAAATATTTAGAAAAGGCTTCATTGGCCCTCAGGTCATTACGATCAGGAGACAAGATCATCTGCATTTCTCTTTGGTCAGCAGGGTCCCATCATGTCATCTGCTTAGGCTCCATATCGAAAGCATCGTGCTTTAGCTCCTTGACTAGGCTATTTATAAAGGTTTTCTCATAAGAAGTCAAGGATTTTGAAATTTTAGAGAGATCAGTTTGCTTAAAATCAATGTCATTATCATCAAGATTCACGATGCAGTCGCTCTTGATCTTAGGGTACTGCATAAGAAGTCTGTTAGTACAGCCGACGACAAACCCTTTACATTCCTCTAGCTGGTCAAGGTCATTAAGAGTGGAAAGGGGCAGGAACAATCACTTATTGTTAAACACTTTCAATGGAAGCCCATACTCCTTGAAGTGCAGTATCGCCTTATGTGTTACATCGTTCTCGTCTGAATTGAAGTTCGCTGCTCCTGGCAAAAGCGAAAGTAGAGTCATTATGAACGTAGACACCTTGGAAGCTTTGGTAGAATAGACAATGACCTTTCCTTCGAGAAGAATTAGCTTTAAAATCGATAGCAAGTTTTGCTTCAGGAAGATCACGATTCGCTTCATGTCACAACAGGTGTAGAAATCAATGTATTTTATCATTTTGCAACCGACAGAATTTGCGCTTAAGAAGAATTCTTCCAAAATTTTGGTATCAGTGAAGTTCTTCTGGTTGAAAAATGCCTCAGTGGTGGGCAAGAGCTTGATCATGATGGTTCCAAATATAGGTGTCCTCGACAACACGCAGACTGACTTTTGGACAAAGGACCGGGACACACTTTCGTCCTTGACCTCAAGCTCAGAGCTTTTTATTTGCCTAAAGCAAGAGACTCCGTAGTATAAGTTGCCTTGAACATCAGGGAAAATGAAGAAGCTGTAATCACTCTCTGTTGCATGACTTCCGTCAGGAAGCCCAATAAATGTGAGGGACTTCTTTGACCCCTCATTGAGCACGGCAGGGTCAGGCTCTGGGTGGAAATACTCAATGATAGATCCAACCTTGTGATCAAACCCAATTACGAAGATATAGTCGACCATGGGTGAAGCTTCCTCAATATCTTCCTTACTTTCATCTTGATCGGTATTTTCCTTAGACGATTTTTTTCACCCTTCTGAGCTATTTTTGGGGAAAAAGTACCTAAAACTGTCTTTTTCAAACTCAGGGAACATAGATGTGTTTTCATGGATTAAATTTAGCCTGATCAGAGCCTCTTCGTTACTTATTTTCTCAGGATGCTAAAACAAGTGAGCACTCTGGCTTACCTTGTCCTTGTATTCCTGGTACTTTTTGCTGATCTTTTTGGTGCTGTACCTGAAAAATGGTCAAATGATGAGTTACTCGACTGCTGAGACTGTCTTTTCTTCAATAAACTTCTTTGAATTCTTGAAGAGCTTCTTGCTCTTGCCTACAAGACTAGAGAACATCTTTGAAAATTAATATTATTTCAATTAGTGATAACCCTTTGGGGTTTTGGGGTTTTGGGGTTTTGGGGTTTTGGGGTTTTGGGGTTTTGGGG